TTACTTTTCTTTAATATTTGGTAATTTCCTAAGCATTTGAGAGTAAACTTTTTTGTCGAAAACAGAAGAAAAACGAAACATTGGAACAATTCCACGCAGATCTTGTTGAAATACTGTCGCGCGCCGACTGTGCAGATAGGAAGACATGTGAATTCGGGACATGTTAATTGCTCAAATGAATAATGAAAATTAGCTGAAGAGCTACTGGCAGAAACGCAAATCCCACAAGATGCATATGAACATGTAATTCGTTGAGAAAAGAAGTCGAAATTAGTTGAATCATAAAACCAAACCCATCCGGAAGAAAACCGACAACAAAACAAGTACCGGTAAGCTACACTAATTCGCGAGGCAGAGGCGGTTAAGTCAACCAAAAATACACACAATGAGGCCGTAGCGGATTCTGCGGACGATAAAATAGCTCACGAAATCCGAGGGGCCACCAACAACCTTATAACAAAAAACAAAAGCAATATTATAAAATTGGCGGACATTTCAGCCCAAATCACTTACAATTAAGATCAGCAAAATATAAAGTTTGCCCAAAATGCGCAAACGTGGTTGTTTTGTTAAATTTTTCTATCTATAAACTTTAACTATCAAGAAGACAGGAATGAAAACAGCTACACAAAGCGGTAGAAACTAACAAAACGACAAAAAAACGATCCTGTTACGTTTGAGAATTTTACTTCCACTAATTGATGGGAAGAACTCAAACTGGATAGTTTTTCAGTAATGACAAAAACTGAGGCGTTCGTTGTAAGGAATTCAGTTTATTTGACTGAAGATAATCTAAATGGAAACATTGTTAAACTAAAAACGAATACGAAGATCATATTCGCTATACCAGACTCGTGAAAACCAATGTCTTTTTAAATCAAAAAACAGCACTCCGATAAAAGAAAAATCAAAATGACTAATATAACGGCACGTTACAACGGCGAATTTATTGTTTGCAAAAGAACGCTAATTATTGCGCTAGAATCTGAGAACCTGACAATTCAATCAGTTTCATTCTTTCTAGTGGATGACCAAAAAACAAATACAAAAGGTCGAAATCTCTTTCCACAAACCGGAATAAGAATAATACAAGAAAACGAAAATAATACCAGATGTTAAGTATACGAGAAACGAAAGAATCAAAGCTCGAAGTGATACAGTGGGTCAAAACAATTTCAACCAATTGTGTTTACGAATAGGAAAATCGAAAAACCCATAATGCTCACACAGTTCAAAAAAGACGCAATCGTTTTCATCAAAAAGGACGCAGAATCCCAATCCAAAAACAAGAAAGAGTTGAGAAAGGGCTAAGCCAACTAATCGACCAAAAACTTGTCTTCACATGGATGAATCGTTGAACAAACAATTTATCAGCCCGATCGTAATAACCGTCATAAAGGACCAAACACTGGATTCTTTACAGATTCAGTGCATTTGGCACTGGATTTTAAAAAGATCAACAATTCATTCAAAAAAATAAACACAAAAACGCCAAACAAAGGCCTTCTGGACAGAATTGCTCAAGTGGTAAAATCAGACAACAACCATGAAACATTTTTCCTAACATGCGATCTACGATACGCATACTCACAGATCTCGTTGGATAAGAAAACTAAAGACTTGTGCAAATTCCCTCTCAGTGGAGGCAAAGCCACCGGGGCCTATCGTTTTCCAACCGGATTCTACGGACTGACAGATGTGCCAGTAGAACTCAAAAAAGCCATCGATCTGACTCTTAAAAACTGCAAATGTTCATAATTTTTTAATGCTTATTTCATATGTTAACGACATATTAATAGAAACAAAAGAAATACAAAAATAGAAACATAAGACCGTCCTATAGAAACTAGACAAAGACAACCTCGCAACCTCACTTGATAAATTTATGTTTGCATGTGAACAGTTTGAATTGTTAGGTTAAAACACTAGAAGAGAAGGTACAAAACCACTCATACAGAAAACAGACGCTGTTGAAAAACTAACACAACTAACAAAACTAACAAAATTTGAAAGACTAAAAAGCTTCTTCGGCTACATACACCATCTCACACAATATATTCCTCGCCGCACTGAGCCCTCTCCTAAAAAACGCGGAAATAAGATAAACCACTTGAGTGGAAACCTGAACTCAAGGTAGCATTCAATAATTTCCTAACTCTAATTTAGACATAACACAAATTAAACAATTTGATCAGATTTTAGAATTCCGTTTGGATATGATGCATCCATTTCAGGCTTGGGGGCAGCATTAGAGCAAAATTCCATTGAAGTTTGAGTGGTAATAGCTTATGTGTCACGGTTTTTGAACTCCCTAGAAGAGAAGTACTCAGTAACGAGCTAGATTTACTAGGGCAATCAAACACCTCAAATAATATGTTACGGAAAATTTTTTTTGTCGTCATCACAGTCCACCAACTTCAATCAGCGCTTCAAAAGCAAGCAAAAGATCAAAGAGCTGCATGAGTAGGCTAAAAAGAAGCATTGTACAATTAATTCTTTAAAACTAAGTTATAAAACACTTGGCGGGAAACAAAAAGGGATTCATAGACTGTATGTCACGAAATCCGGTTGGATTAGCAATACGCCCGCGCGCGTACGAAGTAGAGTTTGTAGTGGCATCAGTTAACTCATTCGTGATCAATCTTGAGATGATTGACAACTTCTTCCTGAACATTCTAGTCAATAAAAGTTGGCTGATTCAAAAGCTCTGCAAAAACAAAAGAAAGCTAACATGCTGCCCAAAATCTCAATCATACCTCAAGTCTTCGGCGCATTCCGATAGCAGTTATCTCAACAAGCTCACATTGTACCATTCGTCTTCAAAACTACCTCAAACACAGTCAAGTAAAGAGTTCATTCAAAGCACTAAGAAATTCGTACATATGATCCAGAATCCAATAAATCCCGAGATGAAATGACAAAAAGAATAAAAAGAGTTCAAAACCAGATCTCCGCGCAGTCTTCAAACACAGGGAATTCCACGCTCCCAGCATCCACACAAACAGAACGCTTTCTAGAAGTCCACGAAGCTTAGGAGTACTGTGTGAACCGCCTGGACCCAACACAGTGCAGCCAGGAAAAATTGCCACCAATACCGAAATGGAAGAAGCCACGCGAATTTTCAGGTGAAAACTTCAGAAAGTCTTTGGAGTAAAAATCATTGCCGCCGCCACCAAGAAAAACCCAAACAGGGGACCCCTCAATTTTGTTGAGAAATGCGACTGGGAGGCAACAACACCTCTTAAGGACAATACTGGTACAATTTTCCCAACAGTCTACACATGGGAGAGGACTGCCTCCGGATTGATGAAAGAATAGTAATCTCGACCCAACTCCGACAAACAGTGTTAGACAGCCTCCACCTAAAACATCCGGAACAGCAGCTATGTAAGATTTGCGCCGAGATGGTTGATCCCGCACATACACTGATCCATTGACAGATTGCGCAGAACTGCCGACCTTGCACCGAATAAGGTAAAATTTTCAAAACCTTATTATGAAAACAACAATCTTTCCAAATTAATCCAGTGGTAGAACCAAAAGAAGAAGTTAATTTGGACTTTACCGCCCTTTCCGGGTGAACTTAGTAAGGATGCAATCATATTGGTTGCAATAGGTAAGTGGTCAAAATTTTCGACAGCCAAAGTCATTTCAAACACAACAGCAGACATTGCCATAAAATTTATGCAACGTTTTTTTTCTTCAAATAATGGGGTGCCTCATACATTAAGATTTTACCACGCACAATTTACCACGCACAAGGTGAAATTTCAGACAAAGATTTCAATTTTTCCGAAACACAACTCAGATAAAACCATTTTTTGCACCGGTAGACAATCATTGATCAATAGGTGTAGACGAAAGGTTGAACGAAACTCGAAACGTAGATTGGTGTTAATGAGAATAGACAAAAATAACAAACCGTATAAATTATCCTCAGACGTAGCCGAAGTTATAAAAACGCTACGAACCACAGCATCGCGGAAGCCCCAACCTCCACAAGCCAACAACAACCCCAAACACCAGATTTGAAAAATAGACGATCAAAAGCAACAGATAAGGATAAGATAAACATAAGATATAAAGTAGTGCAGGAAACTGTACATAAAAACATCAAAAAACTAGCGAAATCAGCAAAAAGCGAGGAAAATTTTATGCATTGCAACAAAGGTGAAGAGACCAAAAACTTTCAAACAAAAACAAAAAAATCACCGACAAAAGAATTTTAACTGATACACCACACACCGCGGGAGTCCAAACGTTCGGTAAAACACCAAGATTGCCGAGAAATTTTGGATTCGCATTCGTACCTTACCCGTTGACATACGGGCTTTGCAGGCCCTAAAGACTATGTGACTGTGTTGCCTAGAAATCTGCACGGATATTCGGACTTTGCCTACGTTTTTTAGCATCGAGCAGCCAAACGCTCCACAACAACCGATGTTCAAGAAAGAAACAACAAAGGGTCTCTCAAAAACACTGAATCGAAAAGAGAAGGCCGAGGACCACAGAGTAGACCAACGAAGAGTGAACCAAGCAAAACTCACCTGGAAAAGAACCGGCTTTCACCCAACAACTAAAACATCTACGCGAGGATTGAGTTTCCAAACGGGAGCGAAAGCAATTGAAAAAAAAGAGAGCAGACAGCACAACAAAAAAAAACCTGAAAATACATCGTCAAGCGCAAAAGAAGAACATTCGTCAACAGCCTCAGAAAAATCGTCACCGACACCGAAGAGGCTCAATCAAAAGAAAACATTCCCAACAGTGATCGCCGAACTGATCAGAAAATCAGTACAAAATCGCCAGTCAACACTGGCAAAATTACTCGGTAGCCCTGTACTAATCAACACAATTGCCAAAAAGACAGAAGGCCAGAAGAAAACAATACAGTTTAGCATGGAATCGCCACCAGACAAGACTACGAGAAACACAAAACCAAGTCTAAAAACCCTAATCCAGGAAATAGTATTCGCATACAAATCACCGGAATTTCAGGCATGCGTGAAATTCCTTCAAAGGACACGACTGAAGTACATTTGATCGAAAGAAAAGACGAAAAAGAAGATAAGACGACCGACGAAAAAGAGACGACACATGAAGAACACGAGAAGCAGGTAGAAGACGACAAAAACAACGAGGAGGGTATGACAAAACAACAGAGCAGAGCAGGCAAATGAAAACTCACGATGAGAAGAACGGCAGAGAGAGAGAGAGAGAGAGAGAGTCACACGGGGACTGTAAAACTATAAAAGATTATATAAATACTTACATCATCACCTCTTTTTGATCTATTAACTGTACAATTTTATGGTAATCTTTCAGAGAGATTTTTCTTAAAAGGTGTTTTTGTTGCCCAAGTTTCTGTTAGTGCTACTGCTACTGGCTTGTTTCAATATGTACGATGAGTTTCTAATTTAGCAAAAAACATGAGAAGTTGATATTATATTTTGACGCATTCAGCAAGCAGCCATTTTTACACTGTTTGCTTCGAAAAAGCTCTGAAGACAGAAAAAACCAAGCTGCAAAGTCTAACTTCAAGCAAAAATTCGTTTCATAGCAACAATCAGTTTTTCAAAATAATGATTAATTTTTAAATTGGTCATGGATAGATTTTAAATATTCAAATAGTTTCTTGTCAGTTTTAACCAAATACTACTGGGTTGTTCTTTATTTGAACAAACATAACCTTACTTTTTTTTGTTTAATTAAGAGCAGTTACTTTTGACCTTAAAGCCGACAGTAACCAAAATTTTATAATAAACATTCATTATTCGTGAGACTTGAAACATGACTGAATCAGTTTTTGTCTGGTTTAAAAATAAGCATATTTTGAAGAAAAAAAACGGACAAGAAAACTTCAAATTATGAGATGTCTGTTCACGTTTTATTTCAACTCGTAAGTGATCGTAAGTACAATAAAAGGGAACAATTTATGAAAATGATATTTTTTTGAGTCAGTTCGTAGGCTATGAAACGCAGTATATTTATCTTGGTCGATGAGAGCCTAAAAATCAAGAAAAATTGACCAGAGTCAAGCAGTTGATTAGGGTTGCACAAAGTTGAACAGGGTCGATCGAAGTTGATCAGGGTCGAACAAAGTGGACCAGGGTCAATCAATGTCAACATGTTCGGTGATAATGAACAAGATCGAATATTATGATCATATCCGACTGGACATTTGTTTGACTCTCAAAGTTGAAAGAGCTCATCGTGGACCCTTAAACGGTTAATACATAATTCGACCATCTCAAAAAAATGACTGACTAAACTAGATGCGCTAGAATATGTTACCTCTAGAGTATGCTAGAATATAAACTAGATGACTGACTAAACATAGAATATGTTTTTGCTATTTTAGACAGCGTACGAAGAACTAGAGAACACATGAAGAACCTGACAGTCAATACAAGACAACACTAGACAGCACGTTAGATGACAACACGTGCTGTTCATTGGTTTATTCATATGATTCTTTATTATAACTGTTCGTTTTATATTCTACGATTTTAAAAAATTTTCAACTGCTACTTGATTAAGCGCTGTTAGTTTTCCTGCTGTTGAATCTCGTGTCTTCGCTTCTGCAAGGTAAAAAGAACGTCATACTTCATTAAATAATCAAAATCTTCATTCATTGAACAATTATTGCATGTTAGAATAATTTTAGCTACCTCATAACTCCTAATACAATTTAAGATAAATAGGTATTATTTATAAACACAGGAAACGCAGATGTTCCAATTTTTGAGCAGGGGTTGATTTCGGAGGAAGCTTTAGCGGGTTCAGGGAGAAATGAGGGCGGACGCCTCTCTTCTCAACGACTCGATCCCCTCACAGCTAAGAGGATCCCTGATAATGATTGCCGAATCATTAGTCTTTTGAGCTTTCAATTTCATGGTTTCTCATGTTTAGTTCCCAACTTTATCTTACAGTCAAATAGTAAAGAGTCTTCACATTTACATTTAAGTGATCAAGAAGTTCTAAATCGACATTAATAACACGACTGTTAATGATCATTAGCATCCTCGGGGAGCCATTAGCGTTTTCCCTAGGTGTTATCAAAGCTAATTTTACGGCGGGTCGAGTTATTTTCCCTAGCGCTGTTTTTATCACACACGAACGCGCTCTGCCGCCAGGCCCCGTGAAAATCTCGATGATTCGTCCAACTGGCCAGATGCCACGCGGGGTGAAGTCCTCCAGTATCCCTACGAGGTCTCCAGTTTTGATGATATCCTCTGGCTGTGACCATTTCGTGTGCCGAATGAGTGTCGGGACATTTTTTTTAGCAGTCGACGCCAAAAGCAATCCATTTTCTTTTTCACCAATCTCCAATCTCGCGGACAGCTTACTGGTTGGCTGGTCACTGAAGGCCATTGAGGGTGTGTACACAAAAGGTCTGCCAAGAAGAAAATGGTTTGGAGTCATCGATAGGTCGTCCGCGATATCACTGTTCACATGCATCAATGGTCGTCCATTCAAAAATTCTTCGGTTTCAACGACGATTGTGATGAAGAGATCTCGAGAGAGGCGTGCAGATCCAAGATTCAGAAGGAAAACTCGTTTAATCATTCTCAACGAGTCTCTCCCACACACAACCAAAGTGAGGAGCAGAAGGAGGGTTCATTTTCCAGCTGGTATTTTGATCTTGTAAGTAGCTTGCTATCTCTGCATCGAATAACAAGGGCTCTGTATGAAACTGCTTTTTCGCTCCGAGCCTCGGCGTGATATGAACCTACAAAGAGCTGTCATACAACTGCCCGTTGTGAGGCTTTCTGTCGTTTCTAAATGCATAGCACGAGTAGTAAAGCACGTGAACAAGCAGATATACTGCTTCGTCGTTGATGAGTTTTTGGCAATATGAAATGGTCCAATGTAGTCTATACCGACAGTTTTGAATGGGTAGGGGTTTTCATTTGGACCCTGAAAGCGAGTGGAGGGAAGATCCGACATGAGGACGCTGAGCCCTTTTCCTTGTAATCTCCGACAGAATAAACAGCGATGGCGAATTGGTTTCAAAACTTGACGCAAACCAATGATAAGAAAATTATGCTTAACGTAATTGCGAACATACTCTGTGCCCAAATGCATGCCTCGGCAATGAACGTGTTCGACTAAAAGTCGCGCTGCTGGTTCTTTAGCATTAAGAATAATGGGTTTTTGACGGTTTTGAGAAGTGGTGAATGTCGGAGACGTCCCCTAGCTTTCAGAGTATTATCATCCATGAAAGGTAAAAATTCAATCAGAACGTCTTTGTTGTCCAATTTTGTCCCTTGTTGTAATCGTTTGATGGTTTCTGGGAAAAATATTTTTGAGAGAAATTTCAAAAATAAGGAATTTTGCTGAATCCCTGTAATATGCGTACGGCAATTTTTTTTTGTTTGTTCTTTAACGAGCTAATAAACATTCAAACCATCGTGGGCCTAAAATCACTATCATGGCTGCGGTTAAACACTTCCCGTTTCACTTTTCATGTTTTTTATAGTCAAAAATTGTATGCATTGTGAATTTTGTCGTTCCAAATTGATATATTAGTCAACTTTTGTGCAAAAACGAATTCATCAAAAAAACTACTCGAGAAGTACATTGGAACTCTGTGGTCTCTCCCTCTCCCTCTCTCTCTCTCTCTCTCTCTCCCTCTCTCTCTCTCTCTCTCTCTCTCTCTCTATCTCTTCATTAATCTTTTGAATAAATGTTTGTTTTGGTCAACTATGTTTAAATTTTTCCAGCCCCTTTAAAATTCATTGCAAAAACGTAGGCTCATTCAACTTTTTGTATTAAAAACTGGGCAAATTCAGCCCTTTTTAAAGAATCGGGCTCATTAAATCCCATACTGGAAAACGTGGTTTGGTACTATTTTTTGCTGACCGATCCTAAATTTTGTCTGAATTAGGCTTTGAATATTCTCTACTAGAATAAATACTAATTTTGAGGTCAAGTGCGCTAAAAAATGCAATTTGTTTAGTCAAAATTGTCCAAAAACTACCTCAAAATAGGGTCTTAACAGTGTTTTAGGAGACCTCAAAAACAATTTGGTCAATGAATCTAGAACAAAGGCGACATAAATTCCTTTTTTTTTCAAAATTGAAAATCCCCTTTAGAAAAATTAGATCCGGGCCTGGAGCGAGTGATTTGGGATGACGGTGTATTATAACCTTTTAAGCTTTCAAACCAATGAAAGCATTTTGCGCGATGCTATTTTGATCAGAAAATACTAATTATAATGGCCAATTCATGCTTATTTTGAAAGCGGAATTGGCACGTATAAAATAAATAGTTTTGCACGAGGCCTTTTGAAAAAGGCTTAAAAATGGCTTTTTTAACACGTATTTTAAACGTAATTTAAAAAAATGGATAATTTAATTGAGCTTTTGTCCTTATTTTTCGCGAATATTGCGTATTTTCAAAAGAAATTGAAACTCTGGACAGCTAAAAACTTGATTTAGGTAAACCTACTTATTTTCCCAGCTCTCCCATTTCTTGTTAGACCGAAAAGTATTTGTACTATAGCGAACCAAATACCAAATCATTGCGAACCAATATCTCGGTATTTCGGCGCTCGTCAAAAAATTCCAGCTTGGAAAATTTCACAAATTGTGTTTAAAGTGATGTGTGAGAGCTCGGAAAACCAGTTTGGTTGACCTAAAAAAAAGAGGAAAAAAGTCGATAAAGTTTCGAAAATTTTTTGAAAATCCGCCCACAACCCCGTCCCCCCCCCCCCCTCGACAAAAATCCTCGATCCGCCCCCCCCCTCGAGAAAATCCTGAATCCCCTTTGAACCTGTCCCTAATTCTCTACAAACCCATTAGTTATGGATGGTTTCATTTCAGCAGGGCAAACACATCACGCAATGGGATTCTCTTTATGTGTGGCTAAACTAAAGAGAACGGGCCCGAAGTTATTAACCGTAGTAGCATTGTGTTCGGTTTTCATTTGGTTCCAGAGCACCCGGCAATGTTCATCTGATCTGACACAATTGAAAACAGCGTCAGCTCCTCTCGCGTTTTCTGAAAATCACAGTCTTCGCCCACTTGTTCAAAAAGATATTTCGTCGAACTCGACAGCCAATTTTTTTCAACTACTAGCGAGCATTGATCGTAAAAAGGAATCCCCCAGTTCGCTCATTGAATTATTCGTACCTTATTTGATTAAAGAGCCCGTGCAACCCATAGACGAGTTGTGCAATCCCGAACCACTGCCCCATGTTAGTGACGATCTTTGTGTCGGCGACTTCAACAAAAACGCGTTTACGGGAAAACTGCGCAAAACGCCCGTTAAAACAATAGTGCATTCTGTTAAATTCAGCTTCGAAGTTGATGTGCTAGAAATACACCTAAACGAGCTATATGACGTGGTAGACTATTTCTTTATTGTCGAGTCGGTGAATGCGCATGCTGACAGCAGTCCAAAGCCTCTTTTGTGGGAGTTCCTAAAAAATCAGCCAAGATTCAAAAAGTTTGAGAAAAAAATAGTGAGGTAAGCGTTTTTAGATTGCAATAGCAAAGGATAATATTTTAAGATTCTTAATTGAAACTTTCAACTTCAAATCTAGAAAAGAGCTCAAAAAAACCACGGCAAACAAATATTCAGTTGAATCGCCCAATTTTAGAGACCAAAAAGCATGCACAAAAGAGGAAATTGAAGTGAAGAAGTTTTGGCGAGTGAAGCCAATTTTCGAAAACTTGGCTCCTCTTTTTGATTTCACGGGCGAATTTAAGTGAGGGGGATGCTTTCTTCCCAAGATACAGACCTGCCAACCACGTAAAGGAGCCCCTTTTGGTACTATTCAACGACATTTTGATTTACTGCATCCACCATCAGGCCTAAATTGTTTCTCAAAGAACCCATATGCATTTTTTGATAAAAATTTTCCAAAAATCGCTGAAAGCGGAGCTATCTGCACCCTCAGGGAAAAGTTAGATCCTCATCTGGTTCAAACAGTTTTTCCACCTCCATGATTTTTAAACTTAAAAAATAAAGGATAACAAAAATGTGCTATTTAAGAATGAATTCAGTCTCATTCAATCGATATTTATTTAGTTTTTTGAGAAGAGCAAGATTCCTGGAGTAGGTTTTAAATTTACTAACATAGTATTTGTAATCTAAAACGGCCGAAAGGCTTATTTTGGACGATTCCTCTGTGACTCTGCCGTCGCCTGACTTCGGAATCTGGGTACCAGAAATACGTGAAGAAGTCATCAGGTGGGAGAAGATTAAACAGTGGCTTGACCACTACAAACTATCCTCGGACGCTCTAATCGGCTTCGGAGACGGGGACGAAATAACTTCGCGGCATCTTGTCCATCGAATGCGTTATTGTGAGTTGAAAAAGGAAGTTTTCGATATCGGTATGCTGTTTTCGTTCGGCAATCTGGAAAAAGCGTATAGCTCGGGTTACCTCTCCCTGAACTACGCTTTCTCAGGGGCAACGTTTTGGACCTATGATGCGGCAACAAAACCGAGCCAATTTCAATCTTTACAGAAGTTGAAGACTTATCCGACTTACCGAAGGAGTAAAATATTGGACGCAGCACTTTTCGGGGGTGACCATCTTACCACTGATATGTATCTGCCATTCAGCCTTACAAAAATGATAACTATAACTGAAAGCTCAGGAAAAAAGTATGGAAGATCATTTTTATTCTACCCTCGATAAATTGAACTATTCTCCCGAATTGCCACTCGAGGAATTGAACATGAGGCTTATGAATGCGATTGACTCTCGAACCCATAAAAAATACGGACCCAGGCAGGAAAAAATCAAAAAAGTGATTGCAGAAAATCCAGAAGCCTACAAACCAATGTTCCAGTTCCCTTGGTTTCTAGTTTGTAACCTGCAAAGATATCCAGCATGGAGTTTCAAATATGACCGCCGACTGAGCGACTAAACTCAATCAGCGAAGTATCAATGAATCAATGAAGTAATTGTTCCGACTATTGACAATGGGTAGGAACTTTGTATTCGGTGTGTTTCAGTTTTTCCAGGCAGAACTAGGTAACGAAATGAGTCAATGGAACGGATCGAGTTAGATATCTTTTTAAAAAATTTTTCAGTCGTGTTTCGAATTACATTTGAAGAAATCCAATAAATTGTCCCAGAAAGCCTGGTTTGAAGTTTTCTAAGAGTTAGTCTAATATGGAGCGAGTAGCGCGATTGGGTAAAGATCTTTATTTGAAAATTTACCTTTTTTTCGACTTTTAGGCTCTCGATTTTCGACTTGTTGGCACCAAACTTGGTTTTTTTGTTCAGAAAGCTAGTTTTGACTGTTAAATTTGGCATTTTTTGACAATAAAGATTTTGTAAAATAAAATTAAAATTATTGTAGACATTAAATGAAAAACTAGTTTGGTATTCATTTTTGAAGAAAGTTTTTGAAGTCACTTAGACGTTTGTAAAGTTTTTGAAGTCACTTAGGCGTTTGTAAAGTTTTCGAATCACAACTTGCCCTAAAAAGGACACTAATTTGAAGAAAACAAAAGAAGAAAATTCTCTTTTAGACTTCTATGAATGTGGTTAGAACATTCTGTGCTACTTGCACAGCAACCAGCTAACCTCGTTGTTATTTTTACATCATTTATTATTTCACAAAAATTTTTACAGGGTACTCTTTCATTGAGCAAAGAGTTAATTACTGTTTGTAATGGTTTTATCTACAGCTAATACTGTTCATGTACAAAATCAATTTTTGAAGCCATATTGTTTTAAAATTGTGTTATTTTCTATGTATTATTTGTACAATTCATATGATACCTATAAAGCAGATATAAAATCTAAACTGGATATAGTATCGTCTTTTAACAAAGTTCATGAGTTAGGGCCGATAGTGCAAACATACCTAACACGACAAAGATGATCGGGACTGCCGAATCCTTTATGCATGTCGAATATCCAATAGAGTTTTTATCAGAGGCTTAAAAACAACTAATTGTTGGAATTAATGATATCTTAATTGAAAGGTTATTTGATTGAGTTTTAACTTTTGAGAAAAACGAGGTAAACTCAATATCGAGAAATTTGAGAAAATTGACGAACTTCGCCGAGACCATCAAAAGGTACCAAATTTGGGTCGATAAAACTGATCGAAATGGTCGAAACCTATGGGTCCAGCGCAGTTGAGTGCAATTTGTTTTGATAAATTTTTAATGGTCGAAACATACCCGAGTTTGATTGAGACGGTCAAAAATTATTGAGTTTGAGGCGAGACGGTTGAAAAATGCCCAACTCGTTCGAGATGGTCAAAACATATTTTTCTCGTTCCAGCTCGGTCGATTACAGTTTTTTCGGTCGAAACAATAGAAACACCCATACAATGGACTTTTATATAAAAAAAAACATCTTCCGCACACTTGGTTCCCTAAAGTGGGGACTCCAAACTGACAATTTCTAAAAAAATTCTTTCCCGATATTATCAACCTAAAAACGGTTGCGGGTCAAAAAACTGATTAAAACGTCGACTTGTGCTATCAAAATTGTTTCGATTGGTTTGTCAGTCTTTAAGAAATCAACAAAAATGTTTGCTAAATTGGCCTTTTTTCACTTCCTATATCGGTTCTCAGAGACTTTTTTGCAATTCTTGCTAAAAGTGCTTAAAAAACACTTGAAACGAGCTCAGTAGCCCTGTACAGTACTGGATTAATACTAAAATCTGGACCAAAATTGACTTAGAAACGAAAATTTGGCCAAAAACTATCAAACTTGGACCCTCCGATTCTTTCATTTTCCAATTTTTAAGTCTCTACACCGGTCTTGATGGTAAAGTGGACATCACTTTCTTGTTCTTCTCCTGCTTTGTGCTAGGAGTGAAGTCCGTGCCCGAGTGCGTTAGTCCGAGATGTTCGAAGCCAGAGGGTAACCCACAAGCTTGGAGCGATGTCATTCGTTCATCGTACAACGTTTTAAAGCTCTTTCTCGCTTTCGAACTTGACTGTTAATCCCAGGGACCTATGCTTGACAACATCGCGTTCTTACTCTGCTGGGCTAGAAAGGATGGTTTCTTTGTCCGACCATCGCTCTTGGTCTGCAACCTGGACGTGCTCTTGAATAACAGTTCCTTTCCTTTATTAGCCTCGGAACTCTCCGAGGTTTCCCAGATCCTTCAACTATTTCCTGCTCGGAGTCGTCGCCAGATCCTTCAAGATCCTCACGGTGGTGGCAGTCAGGTCAAGTTAACGTTTGTGATCCTTCGGAGGCTTTTGCGGAGGGTTACTAAGGGGCTTAATACACTCCGGAGGGTTACATCAGAGGGTTACCTAAAATTTCTTAATTCTCAACCTTTTGCCTCAAAGGAGTCTCGGAACAGTCTTGAAATGAGTCGCAATAGGCAAATTTTACTCTAGGGGTTTCGTGAACTATTTCGGAGGGTTCCGCAAAAAGTTTACAATAAGGAGAGTGATTATTGGGCTTATTTTACTCCAGGGCTACTTCAGAGGGTTTTCCAAAAAATCACTAAATCAAGTGGTTTTGACGCGGAATACCCTCCGATGTCGGTATAATTTACTTACAACAAGGTTAGTTGAACCGGTCAAATACCTTGAAGGATACAATAGACTTTTGTAAAAAAAACTTGTTCCGCTCTGAGCGTTCCCTAAAATGGGGCTCTCCAAACTGACAATTTATAAAAAATGGTTGCGGGTCAAAAAAGTGATTACAATGTCGACTTATGCTCCCAAAAATGTTCTGATTGGTTTTTCAGTCTTTGAGAAATACACAAATTTGCGTTTGCTAAATTGGCTTTTTTAAACTACCTATATAGGTTCTCAGAGACTTTTTTTGCAATTCTTGCTGAAAGTGCTTAAGAAACTCTTGAAACGAGGCCAAACACTATCGGATTTGGGCCCTCCGATTCCTTCTTTTTCCAATTTTTACTCGAATAGCGGCAGTGATGGAAATGGCCGTATTTGCCAAAAATAGTTGGAAATTTACTAAGAATAAAACCCCAATGATCGACCCATGTGAACCAACCTACCAAGTTGAAACAACTGGAGAAGCGGAAGCGCAGAAACGCGAGAAAGAAATTGGAAATTACGAAAAACGAGTCACTTGGGATAATATTGTAAGAAAAAGCAGAGACAAGGACGTACTACGTAACAATGTACCCTGGGACGACGCAGACGCCAAAGAGAGAAGTGACGTCTTCCTGTGCCTAGGAGCAGGAGAGCAAAGACGACTGCAAAACGAGACCAAGTCTTGATTTACAAACATCCACTACAGAGGAGTCATTGCGAATACTAGAAGACATATTCGTCTCCGAGGTACAATTTCGTTTGTCGGAATCAAGAAAAAAAAACGAGACATTGGAAGAATTCCATGCAGATTTGGTCGAACTGGCATCAAGGCTGATTGTGCGGATCGAGAAGACCAATGGTTCCGTGATATGTTTGCGTTTCACATGTCTAATGAAAAAAATGCAGAAGAGCTATTGACAGCAAACAGATCACCCCAAGATGACCACGAATATGCAACCAGGGGGGAGAAAGGCATTAGTAATAGATGTTGAGGCTGAACCCCATGTTTTCAGATAGAGAATAGAACATACGGTCATCAAGCTATGTATAAACATTGGGTATAGAGTCTACAAGGTAAAAGGATAAGGAATACAAATGATGAGGTTTCATGGTTTTTGTGATGGTAAGGTAATAGCTCGAAAAAACGAATTTTTTTTGGATTTTGTGTCGAAATATCTAGTTTTTTTTCGCAAAAATTGATGCGTCTGTTATCTAATTGTTAAATATCACAGGTTAGTTACGTGTGGATTGTGAAATAAAGGTTTTTTAATTAGAGTTTTGGTACACGGTAAGTCAATAGTAAGAGTTTTTGGGCAAAAACTTGGAATTTTTATGAAAAAATTTTTCAAAAAAACTTCAAAACACGATAAAATTTGTTATAAATCGACCTATTAACTAATATATTATATATTCCTATTTTTTGAAACATCTACTTGAAAAAAGGGTGAAACCTACTGAAACTTCGAAAAAGATCCACACAAATTATCAGTTTTTAATCAAATTAAATTAAAAAATCCACACAAATTATCAGTTTTTTGTTTTTTTTTCTGGGAACCATTCGTTCATATTTTTTGTTAAAAAGAAATAATTTGTTATTTTTCGACCCAAGGAATCAGCAAAGTAGTAAAATTTGTCCAATCGAGCTATCATGCTCCAGTGTTCCCCTCTATCATTGATTGGAGCTGAGTTAACAATTGCAAAAGAGTATTTTGTTAGTCGAGATACTTTATCAGAGGGGTAAGATCCCATTTACTTGAACCTGAGCTCAGGAAATCTTTCAAAAAGGTTAAAGTTTTAGTTTGCAGGAGTAAAAAATTATCCATTCTTGCAATTTTTAGCCGATTTACATCTAAAAACAAAGAAAAACTAAGTTTATAGTAAAGTTTAGGATAAAAAAATCTCAATGACTTACACGCATTTAGGTATTGAATCAACAAAAACCATACACAAAACTTATGATCTGGACAAAGGTTATTGAACACTGTTTTACGGTCTAGTTTGAAAAATTTTCTTGGGTTTTCAACTAAACTGCATTCATTATCTGTTTTTTCTGGAGATTTACGTCTGAAGAAAAACAAAGTAGATAGTACAGAGACAATAACAAAGAAAAATCCCAAAAAAATAAAATATTTTTATAGGAAGCTGAACACTCTAAAATTTAAATACTTTTAGCAACTGTTCCGAATTTGTCAATTTGAACATTTGATAGTCTTTCTCCCAAGACTATCACTTCCGTTACTTGTTCCAAGGGAAATTGGAAAAACATTTCTAATCTCAGGCTTTCTCCACTAAGTTCTGGATAATGCAACTGTTCAGCTGCATCCTGTAAGGAGGTCAACTCAAACACAAGAATATTGTGATGTTGAAAATCTTCCATAGGAAGAGCTGGGAAATCTTCGTTAAACTGCATTGCTTTCATTGTTGTAGCATAAGGACGACAAGGAGAAGTTGTATCTAATGAAACAATTGCTCTTTCACCCCGAATAATTCTCAGCTCTCTCAAATGAAATTGTTGATAGCTGAAAGGGTTTTCATGAAAAGATCCTGCAACAGCTGAGTTTGTATTCATTGCAACAGCTATTCTTCTTATTGAATATATTTTCTTGTGTGAATTGGTTTTGACGAAACGGAATGATTACGGTTCTTGCTATAGTTTCCATGTAATTGTATTGAGCAGGTTTTCTTGCAAGGTTCTCATGCAAACTATCATTGCAAGTATTGATGATTAGGTTCAGCTACTAAAATTTTTCTAGTAAACAGCGAACAATCAACAACTTTCAGACTGACATTTGGATTATCAGATAGCATATAAAAAATAGGTCTAGCTCGAATAAATTTAATTCGAGCTTGGGTATTTGGTAGCAACAATTTTTCGCTAGTAAACAAATCAATGGCGAGCCTACCATAGAGTGAAAAAGTTATCCCTGTTCCTAAGGAATTTCTTCTATCAGTGAATGGATGCATATCAAATCCATCAGGATATTTTGCAAAACTGTATCCATGACAAGCAAGTAATCCTTTATTACTCACTGCTGACGAGTTGAATTCGTTCGGTATTTGTGCCTTATGAGAATATAAACCATTGGCGTTGTAAACCATTGTATTGTTAAAATAAACTTCACAGTTGGAGAATTTAGAATTTAGTAGATTGTTTACATAAGTTACGTAAGCTTGTGGCTCCTCATTTCAATCTTCCTCCGATTTTGCTTTATGTTCTGCTTTTTATTTTTTTGAAATTATCAAAAAATTTTCCTTGAACAATTGAAGCTTTAAATTAAGATGGGTATCACGCATATCGAAGTAAAGGTTACGATCCGTTTCAAATTCAAACTCAATACTGCTTTCATCCAGAGAAGTACTGGGAAAAACTTCTTGTGTGTAAGATGACATAGTTTTTTCCAAAACTGGGACTTTATTAAAAACCTCCATCGAAGAATTTGTAAAAGCTCCGGACCAAAAATGACTTTTGTTTACACTCATTTTATATTGTCAAAAATGTCTTTGCGAGAGCGACTGTTTTTTGATCTACTTTTTCGAGAAATGGATCTGGTTCTACCTGATCTACGCTTAGATTTCTTTTTTCCACCTCCCAATTGTTTCCGAACTGTTTTTGTTCCCACATCTTTTGCAAATATTTTAAATTTTTGACGTCCACTAACAATTTCCCCAATCTCTGGAGCAGCAATTTCAAACAAATCTGCCCCAATTCATTTCGCAGCTGGGACTATATATTTTTTAATAAAGGGGATTGCAGTTCTCCCAAGAGTTTGTGCGAGAGCTCCAAAAACTTTTCCACGTTGTCTTGCATGCGCTCGAAAAATAGGGAAATCAACTGAATTTTGAGCAACCATTTCGAATGAAAATTAAATCAGCTTTTTACTTTGGAGATGAATGGAATACAACGCAATAAAGAAGTTTTTGTATCACCGACTATGTTATGTTCTATAATATCACTATATATCTTCAAAGAGTGTATTTTTATAATGTCTCAAGAATACTGAGATTATGTGGTCCTTTTCCTATCATTATAGCACCTCTTTGATTTTGTTCTAAATCACAACCAAAAATGTGACTCAAGTCAGAATTTTGAATAATAAACACTAATTGATTCTCAGATAAATGAACGGAAATTTTTGAGTAATTTTATCTACTGATACATAGATTCCGTTATATTCAAATGCTTGAGCACCTAAACTTTCTCGAATTTTGTTGTTCATGGCTACAACTATATCAACAAAACTCGGATACAATCCTGGTTCAATATGCATCGGTACAATTTTTCTTTTTTCCTCAGAACTTTCTCTATCATCTACGAATGTAAACTTTCCCTCAGTAACATTTTGGTACAAAGAAGCGTAGGATATTTCTGAATTAGCAACCACCCATTCTCTTTTCGAATTCATTTGTTCGGGTAGAAATTTGTTCAAAAAAAACTAAGACTATGATTCGAATAACAATGATTTACCTCTATTCTGAACATATTCTCAGCTATTTTTCATAAAATTTTCCCAGAACTTTTCATTGTAGAGATCTTTGATGATGTATGTAGACGGTTTTCTAGTAGATATTGCCGAAATTTCGAAAATTTCATCTCTAAATTGTGGTTTGTATCCTTTTCGGAACGGAGTTTTATTCTTTGAAATTCTCACTCTGTCTTCAATGTTG